TTAAAATGGCATTAAAAGATAGCACTTGGCCTTTTAAGACAAATATCTCCTAATCATCTATTGTTTCCTAGAAGACACTGGTTATTAAATTCCTGGAGAAGACGAGGATGGGAAGAGGTATACATATACTCTTACAAGATCCTCTGTTTTCCAAACAGAACCAAGAAAAGTGCCCCAAGTTATTATACATGGAAAGAAATCTTCCAACCTCAATGGCTCCTCTGAGTCCAAAAGCAAACATATACAGAGCTCACAAGCCTACATCCGTCTGCCTCCTGTTCTATTTGCAGCCTCCTATCTGCATCAATAGGCAGTGATGGGCAGTTGTCATAAGCTAAGTGCCAACCAGACTTGGTTCCAAAAAGGGCAGGGTCCTCCTGCTATGGAATAAGACAGTAATGGTGAACCATTTAGAGACCAAGTGCCAAATTGCAACCCAATACCCACTTATTTATTGCCAAGGGACAACACTGCAATTAAACCTGAATACTGAGTTTAGAAAAAACAACTCTACATTAACATCCTTTGTCTTAAAAGAAAAACACAGTAACACATGTGCCATAGGTTTGCCACCACTGGGATAAGACTACCATTCCTACATGCCTGGCACTTTTTTACACATGGTATCTCAACCCTTACCACTGGCAAGGTGCGCCTATTCCCAGGCTCAGGGAGGCTGGCTGCAGGGAGAAGAGACACGATCCCAAAACAGACCTTGAGTGGCCAGGTGTTCTCTAGATAGCCTGCCCAGAGAACATCAACAGCTTGCTAGACATGGCCCTCAGCAGCCACCTGTAGTCATTGCTTTACTGTAGTGTCTTTCCAGTGGTTAGAAATCCACCAGGGGGTCAGGAATGTCTCAGAAGTGTTTGAGAAACCCCATTGTCCAGCACAGAGCCTGACACTACCAAATATGTATTTGGTAACTAATTATGGATCGAGTGATGATCCAATAAATATTTACTGAGCACTTACCCTGTATCAGGCACCATAGCCCTAAGTGTGGGCAAAACAAGCTCCATTCCGATTTGACATCCAGCTGAGCATCCGGTGTGATCAGCTCATACAAATATGTCATTTCAAACAGATTTACCAAAAATAACCATAAAGGACCAGGTCAGCAAAGTATGCCCTAAGGATCAAGCCAGAAAAGTGGCTTTAAAGGAAACATTTGCCAATCCATGGTTAGAACAAGGACCATACATTCAGATGGCCAGGATATGGGAGAAGGGCATCAGGAATCTGGAAGATTCCCTTGAAAAAGCAATAAAAAGCTTTAAAAACACAAGACAATAAAGGCCCAGGGTAGCTGGAACACACAGCAGAGGAAGCACATGACATTTCCAGGCTCTGTACTCAGGATGTATGTGGGTCTTTCTACTAAGAGGTAAGGGTTTGTGCATGTGTATATGTCTGTATGAAGAATCAACTGGAAAGTGAAGTGAGGGAATCTACATTCTGCAGAATTCTCTCAAATGCCCTGGAAGCAAGACAAGAATGAGTGCAGGAGCCAGGCTGGAAGCTACAGCAGGCAACTGTGAGAGACGCTGGGGACTGGGACAGGGCTGCAGAGAATCAAACAGATTTAAGCTGCATTCCAGAATTAGACCACCTGTCAGAGGTAAGGAAGACAGGTGATTTATCTACCTTTTCAGACCTCACAACAGCTATTGTAAATGTTTGCCGACTTTTTCCTCTCCAGGTGAAACTTTCTCATCAAATGGCATGATGATGCAGCCTCTCCTACATGAAGGTGGTGCTACCTTTAACCAAAGACATTTTAAAGATAAGATCAGGATTTACAGCAAGAAAGAATTCCACAAAGGAAAAAAAACATTTTTAAGAAGCCAGCCTCAAAACCAATAGAATCACTAAATGTGAACAGAGAAAGAATAACGTATAGTTGTCCTTCAGTATCCATGGAGGACTGGTTCCAAGACACACACAACCCAGGGGGGTACCAAAATCCCAGGATCCTCAATCCCTCCAATAAGCTTGCATAGTACTTGCATATAACCTACACACACACACCCTCTTATATACTTTAAATCATCTCTAGATTACTTATATGATCTAAGAAAATAAAAATGCTATGTAAACAGTGATTACACTGGATTGTCTAGGGAATAATGATCCAAAACAAAGTTTGCACATGTTCAGTACAACACTACAGTAAGTAGTTATTTCAGTGCAGGGATTGAACTCAAAGCCTTGCACAAGATAAGTACACACTCTAGCACTGACTTTACTCCCAGCCCTTTTTATTATTTTTAATCTGCAGTTGGCTGAATCCACAGATGAAGAATGCTCAGATGCACAGGACCAATTGTACACTGTGGAGCCTAGAGACTTGGCTCTATCATCTAACTTTAACAGTTGCAGGAAGTCTAACCTAGGCTGCATTATTTTGTCTCTCTGAGATTGTTTTCTCATCAGTAAAGAAGAAAATGTCACTGCTCTTCCTGAGGTTGTCCTAAAGACTAAACAGAAACAGACTATCAAAAGCAAAGACAAACAATAATTACTATTTTTAATATTAACCATTGCACTGCTTTTAACCATAAACAACAGTGATTGTGAAGGGCTTAACTTTAAATTCTACCATAAAAGATCACATTTTACATAATGAAAGTTATAGCAGTAAACTATTAATAAGATCACATTAACATTCAGCGTATGACTGTCTCTCGGGAAATGGATGGTACAATTATGAAGACAAGCAATAAAGTCATGGATATACGACACACATCCACACACAGACATACCAACCTGGCCGAGGAAAGAAGAGCCTTTTGGGGGGGGGCGGGGGTGTACCAGGGATCGAACTTGGATCCTTAAGCTTGTACACCAGGCGGTGAAACCACTGAGCTAAAACCCGAGCCCAGAAGAGCCCTTCTTAATGAGATCTGCATCCCAGGGCCTGGAACAATGATTGTACTAGCTTGGGTATCATGTAGAATTGCCCAGGAGCTTATTGAAAATGCAAATTCCCAATCTACACCTCCCCAAATACATACTCATTCATTTCCCTCTCCTGTCCCCTCCCTCCTTTCCTCCCTTTCTTCCTCTCTTTCTCTCTCTCATCTGCATATACACATCCTCAATCAGAAGATCTAGAATGGGATATTAAATCTGCACCATTAATTTACAAGCCTGCAAGTGATTCCGATGTAGCTGGACCATGGATCCCAAAATGAGGAGCCCTATTCTGACTGAAGCCAGACCCCACAGTAGGCCTCAATGAAGGACTGATTGATAATTCTAATAATCAAATGTCATAAACACATACTGAGGCTCTAATATGTGGCAGGCACAAAATATCTGTATAAAATGCTAAGAAATAAAAAAAATAGGGGCTGGGGATTTAGCTCAGTGGTTTCGATGCCTGCTGTGCAAGCCCAAGGACCCAAGTTTGATCACCGGTACCAAAAAAAAAATTTTTTTAATAAATAAAAAGAGAAGCAGCCCGTCAACCCTCAAAGCTCACAAGCCTGATGGTGGCACAGACTTTTACACACTTTCCTATATAGCAGCGTGTGACTACACATACACTCATCAAGATAAATCTTTACTGAGTACCTTCTAGATACTTGGCCGTGAGAGATACATCAGGAAACACAATAGCCAAACGTGCCTGTCTACACAGAGCTGATGTTACAGTGACAGGAGAGAAAGAAGGGGCAAAATTTAAAAAGCGTAATGCATAGTACATTAGGTGATGTTACAGAGAAAAACTGACCAGAGGAGAAAGAGAGGTGGAGTGTCATTTTCAATTTGCTCCAGTTTCAAAGAATTTCCACAGCCTCTGCGTGCTGTGCTCGCGGCTGTTGAAGTTTCCCAGCAGAACAAAGGGGTGAAAGGTCAGATGGAGAGATAAGTGACTGCTGGGTGGGCTGGGGTGGAAGGGTGCCAGTTTCTAGGCTGGAGGAAGGCTAAGCGGAATGCTCCTCCAGCCCCTTTGTGGGCCGCAGAGCATGAACCAGCTCTGACTGCAGCACACAGTGCGTTTCCAGCAAGGCCTGAACACCTCCGTGTCTCTCACCTCTGCCAAAAGCCTGTGTCCTGCAGTGTCATAAACTTATGCAGTTATGTCAGCCTTTCCTGGGTCACCTCAGTGGCAAATTTTAGGACTTTTTTTTTGGTACTGGCGATTGAACTCGGGTCCTTGTGCTTGCCAGGCAGGCAGTGGAACCACTGAGCTAAATGCCCGGCCTAAGGACTTTTTTTATCATAAAAGGAACACGGGACCACAGTAAAAAGTATTTTTCATACTTTAAAAATATAAACACTTCAAATATTCTTACCCCCACCACCCTGTGTTCACATTGTGGTGTGGTTTTTGCCACTGCTGTTGTTTATCTAGGACCACTCTGCATCCACAAAGTTTCATATCCCTGTCTTTTCATTGTTATGAAATATGCATGTTTACTATATATATAAAATTTTTAATAACTACGTATGCATTTTTCTCCTTAAAACAAATTCTATACAAACATCATTTTTAATGGCTATAGGATATTCTGTCCCACTGAGGCAGTATACTTGATTAATCATTTCCTAGCTATTGGTATTTAGATTTCTGAATTTTCAAAATTCTCAACTGAGCCATGCATAGTGGTACATGCCTATAATGCTGGCACTTCAGAGGCTGAGGCAGGAGGATCATCTTGAGTTCAAGGCCAATCTGGGCTACATAGTGAATTCAAGGCCAGCCTGAAATTCACAGACTCTGCCTCAAAAAAAAAAAAAAAAAAAAAGTTCTCAATTATCCTGAAAATAACTTTGTACCAAAAGGTATTTCAAGACGTTCCCTCAGAATACATTCCTAGAAGTATGAAAAATTAGAAAGATTTAGATAAGCAGTCACTGCACAGATGGTCTGCAGTTGACCCAAATTCAGTCCCTGCACCTCCTGGGTGCAGAGGCAGAATACAGAAGCTCGCCATCCCTCACCACCTTTCGATCTGGACAGTGAGTGGTGATAGAAAAGATTTATTTACCTGCTGTCAGAATCCGAGGCGATCTCCTTTCTCCCTCCAAAGCGGATCTGGCACTGCACAGAAAAGAAACTGCTGAGATCAGCTGCTGGGATGGGACTCTAAAGCATCACAAAACAGCGCACACAGGTCTTCAGGGTCAGAGTAGGACACAGGGCCAGAAATTCCGTGCTCTGTGTGTTCGCACAAGAGTTAAGAAGGTCACATCTCAGCCTTCCAACGGCCATTTAAAGGAAGCTCTTATCTCCTACTTCTACAGAAGGAAGCCTGTGGGAAAACAGTGCTAACAGGAAAACAAAGCACATAGCCATCTGCAAATTATCTGGGAAACTGTGTGTCTGTCAGCAGCTAACTATATCACAGTGCTCTTCACAGGCGATAATGAAACTACTCTGTGACAGGACCCCAAAGTTACTATGACTGGCTAGAAAACTGCAACAGCATGAATCAAGCTTCAAAGAAGTCATCCAATTGTGCTGAATGACAATGCATCCAGGGTAGGTAAAAACAAAACAAAACCTCTCACTTTTTTCTTTATGGTGGTAAAAACAGAGGTGAAAGAAAACTTACCATTTTAACTATTTTTGGCTGTACAAGTAAATTCACACTGTTACACAACCATCACCACTACCCATACTCTCTTTTAAAGGTACAGAAACCTTGCTATAGGTTTAAATTCCTAAACTTATCATCAAAAATACATACAATTTTTTTAAATACATATAATTTTAAATAACACATTTGTCAAAACTCAAGAAACTTTACAAAGTTAATGGTATATTATATGTAAATTATACATCAGTAGCCGGGGATTTAGCTCAGTGGTTCTGCTGCCTGCCTCGCAAGTGCAAGGACCCGAGTTTGATCCCTGGTATCAAAATAAAAAATAAAATTATGCATCAATAAAGTCACTTTTTAAAGATATATATAAAATGCTTTAACTCCCCCCAAAATAGTAACAGCAACAAGCAGAAGTCCCAATTTATTTCTATCTAAGTGCTGTATTTAAAGTGGTTAAACCTGCCTGATCTTCTTGCTACATTTCCATTTCCAAAGGAAGAAGAAACAAACACATGCTCCGGACTTACTATGGACTAGGCGCTACCTGGACCCTTGACCTAACTTTAACAAATGCGATTTGCTCCTCAAATTTGCTCAGCCCCATCGAGATACGTGACCTGGTTCCAAAGGAGAAAGACACTCAGAGAGAAGAGATGAGTTGTCCCCACACAAACAGCTGTGAGGTGATAAAGCTGGCACTCAACCCCAGCTCCATCTGAGCCCCAAGTGTGTGTCCTTCCACCATACCAGGCTGCCTCATGGATTGGGCAGATGCTAAACGCTCTGGGCTCATTTCAACACTTAACTCATGGCCCTACTGAAGTATTTACCTTCCTGTACTGTAATTATATACATATCATTATCAATCACCCCTTCCAAAAAGTGAGCTTTTTGAATTCCTGGTTTGGATCCTAGCTATGTCACTTGCTATTAAGGTTTGGACATAGAATGTCCTCCAATAGCTCGTGTGAAGGGTTGGTCCCTATTAGAGCAACGTTCAAAGGTGGGGCTTTTGGAAAGTGAATGGATCTTTGAGGGCTCTGATCTCATCAATAGCTTAATCCACTGATGCATTCATAATTGAACAGACTGTCAGGAGATGGTGGAAATCATGGAGGTCAGGCCCAGTTAGAAAAAGAAACAGGTCACTGGGGGAGTCTTCCTAAAAGGGTATATCTTGTTCCTAGCCGCTTTCCCTCTTTTTGCTGTGCAGCCACCATGAGGTGAACAGCTTTCCTCTATCTTACCCATCAGTCATGACATTTCTGTCTCATCATAGGCCTACAAGCAATGAAGCCAGCTGACCACGAACTGAAACCTCTGAAACCCTGAGCCAAAATAAACTTTCCTTCCCTGAAGTTGATTCTTTTTTTTTTTTGAACCGGGGATTGAACTCGGGACCTTGTGCTTGTGAGGCAGGTGGCAGAAGCACTGAGCTAAATCCCCAGCCCTTGAAGTTGATTCTCTTAAGTGTTTTGTCATAGTGATGGAAAGGTGACTAACCCTAAATTATGATACTTTGAGCTACTTACTGAATCTCTCTAAGCTTCAGTTTCTGCACCTATAAAATGAAAATAATTGCAGGAGGCTGGGAGTGGTGACACACACCTGTAATCCCAGCACTTAGGAGGCTGAGGCAGGAGGATTACCACAAGTTCAAATAGTACCTCCTCTACCTCTACTCTGCCTTCCCTGCTCTGTCAGTTCCTAGGGAAAACTCTCTGCTTCACCATTTCCAGAACACAAAGTAAGTTTATGTGTCCAAAGAGGAAGAGATGACTTCTGCAAGTATGTATATTCTTCTTACCTGTTTCACTGCATCCAGCAGTCGCTCCAGAAGAAACTGTCTTTTGTCATTGTTCTGTGATCCTAAAATGCAATGAGGCTTAATTAGTTCTGTCTGACATTAGCCTTCTATTAAGACTTTCTGATATTATAGTATATGGCTATCCCCAACTACAATCAGTCCTTTGCTGATATTTAACAAAATCAGTAGCAGGATCAGTACCAATAATCTAGATCATTATAAGGAAGTTTAATCATTTGCCTATTACCATATCACAGGAAAACAAACTAATTTTCCTCAAATCCGAAGAAAATGTTCATAGTGCTTGTTTAAGAGTCTCTCAACTGTGGCACTATGGACATTGTAGGAAATAGCACTATCCCTGGCCTCTGCTCCCTAGATGTCATTAGTATACACATACTCCTGAGTTATGACAAGAAAATATTGTAAAATGTCTCCTGAGAGACAAAGACAAGAGATGAACTGCCCCCAGATGACAACCAGCAGTCTAACACAAAGTATGTTTCCTACAATGGCAGGTATTACTTGTTGACTATTCTTACTATCATTTCCAACATCCTTTTCCCATGCCAACTTCTGCAATACAAGCCTAAGATACCTAATTAGTCCTTTTCTTAGCAGCTAAGGCTGTTTTGCTTTGTTTTGTTTCTTAAATACTGGGGCTTGAACTCAGGGTTTTTGCACTGAGCTACACCCCCGTCTTATTTTTACTTTTTTATTCTGAAACAGGGCCTTTTTTTTCTTTCTGAGACAAGGTCTTGCTATGTTGTTCAGGATAGCCTTGAATTCACTGTGTAGGCCAGGCTGTCTCAAACTCACTGTGATCTTCCTGCCTCAGCCTCCTAAGTGCTGGGATTATAGGTGTGCGCACCACCAAACCCGGTGACAGGGTCTCACTAAGTCACTAAATTGCCCAGGCTGGGCTCAAACTTATGGCCCTCCTGCCTCAGCCACCCGAGTGCTAGGATTACAGTGCTAGGTGAGGTATGACACCTCACCTAACTCCTTTTTATTTTTTATTTTGAGACAAGGCCTTGCTAAATTCCCCAGGCTGGCAATCCAACTTACAATTCTCCTGCCTCAGCACAAGTAGCTGGGATTATAGGCATGTATCACATTATGCCTTTTGATACAGAGAAAAGATATGAAGGGCACCATTCCTTCCTCCATCCCCAGTTCTTAATCATAAACATGTTGGGTGGAGCCAGAGGAACACCTTGCTACCACAAACCCATGAGGGAAAGGCCATGAGAATCACGAAGACACCAGGGTTATCACTAAGCTAATACTGTTATTGCTGAGCTAATACTAGAAACAATCTAACTTTCACCAAATAAGAAATCTCATTTGTTTAAACCACTGTACACTGGGCTGCTACTTACAGCCAAACATCTTCCCAAGTGATACATATGCCATACAATGAACTTTCATTTAAGAAGGTCAGTGGCAAGGGGACTGCAAAGCACCAAGCAGACTACTGTCAAACAACTGTTGCTCCACACGAGGCCCAGTAACTCCAATCAACAGAGACAAGGCTGTGGGTTATAATGCACCAAGCCCAGAGAACAGTCATTTCAAAGACGCACCACACCAGTCTGAATTGCCAGCAAGCCACTTCTCTTCTTAGCCAATTCTGTGAGGGCTGCACGAGAGAGGGGCGCAAGGCACTGCCCAGAGCTGGTCAGTAATTCCTGCAAGTCAAGCCAGGGCCGGCCAGTTGAAAACAATTTCCACCATGTGGGACATTTTCTGTTTGCCAGGCACCCAAATCATCTCCTTTAATCTTCACAACCAACTTCTAAGACAGACTCTCACACCATGGATAGGGGAAAAAAGCTCAGCAGTATCAAATAATTATGTGCACGGATCTACTCAGGATTTATTTAACTTTTACTATGCACCAAGCAATTCTCTAAGTACTGGGGACAGTTAAATGGTACAAAAAGTACATGGTACAGAAGTTAAATGGTACAAAAGAGCTATCTTCTCACGGAGCTAAATTTTTATTAGGAAAAAACAAATAGTGTATAAGTACACTAATAAAGGAAGCAATGTTAGAGTCATGCTTGGAACAAAAGGATGAGACAGTGAGGGGGGAAGAAACAGAGCCACTTTAGCCAATCCAATCCTGGGGGCCTCTCTGCAAAGGTGACATTTGAGCTGATCGCTTTATAAAGAGGAAGATCAGTCATGGAAAGATATAGAGAGGTAGCATCCAGGGCAGAGCAGACAGGTTGGGAAAAGGTTCATGTGGGACAAGCTTGGCTTCTGATTGTCCAGGACTAAAAGGAAGTCCACTGTGCCTTGACCAAGAAACAAAAAAAGGGGAAGGAAAGATCGGAAAAGCAGACAGAAGCCAGGCATGGAGGATGTTGTAGACTAGGATAAAGGGTTTAGATTCTGCCCTAACTTAATCACTAATTGGTGGAACTGTGATCTGTGATCTTTCTTTTTGAGACGGGGTCTCACTATGTATTCCAGGCTGGCCTTGAGCTCTCTCTGTAGCCCAGGCTGGCCTTGAACTCATGGCAATCCTCCTGCCTCAGCCTCCCAAGTACTGGGATTACAAGTGTAAGACACCATGCCCTACAGAACTATGATCCTGATGCAAGACCATCCTTCTTTTAGAGGCTGTGTTGGGAGCACCACACCAAGGCTCCTACCTTACTCCAACACTGGAGATAAAACTAGTGAACAGGGCCGGGGATTTACCTCAGTGGTTTCAGCAAGCGCAAGGTCCCAAGTTCGATACCCGGTACCAAAAAAAACCCAAAACAACTAGTGAACAGATACTCCACAACATACACTAAAGCAAACGTTACCATTATCACTCTTCTGGAAGAGGTGTTGATAAAGGTAGGCCCACACACCATCCTACCACACAAGAGGCCATCCAGAAGCATCATTCACAATGGGTAAGGAGCTCCCCTGCCCAAGGCCCTCTAACACCACCCTTAACATCTGTGCCTTTTAATTTCTGCTCTTACCTGTCTAACACAGAGTAGAAAAGGAAGTTTTGTTTTCTTCCTTTTTCCACATACTATATCTAACAACTTTACTTGCCCTTAGGCAATGTCAATTGGAAATGTGACAGTTTTGCCCCAGGAAATGCCCTTGCTATTTTTTTCTTATCATAAAACTTATGTGAAAAAAATACAATAAAAACAAATGAGGAAAAATGTACAAGGAATATAATCTCCATTATCTCACCACTGATGATTGTTTTTCACACTGCTTCTCAATCTGTAATGTGCACATGAATCTCCAATAGATCTTATAAAAAGGCAGGTTCTGATTCAAAAGGTGGTAGAGCCTGCATTCCTCACAGGCTCCCAGTGAGGCCGACTTGCTGATTCCTGAGATACACCTACCCTTACTGATGCGCACAAGGGCCCGACATATGTCCTGGGTATTCTGAGTCACTGTTTGTTCCAGATGAGATGCCAACAGCCTCTTCTGCCTCACCTTGCAAAGCCTCTTCTCCTAATCTGGGAAAAGCTTGTGCAGGTCTCAACCCAGAGACTCAACCTTGCTGGCTATGATCATTCTCTTTAAGCAAGCAGCTTTCAAGTGCGACAATTCTGAGCTCAGAAGGGGAACCTGGCCATCTCAGCCCTGAACAGAGATCTTGAGAAGGATCTTATAGGCTTCAGGGTGCACAGGGGACCTTGAGGCCACTGGTTAATGGCAGGAGGTGGCCAGAGAGGCCCCTGACTGTGAGCAGAAGGAGAAGCCCTGAGCCAGAAGTCACAAGGCAAGAGTTCTCATCCTGGCCAAGCCACTTGCTGGTCATCTGACAAGGACAATCACTTCCCTTCTCTGGGCACTGGAATCTGCATGAGATCATGCTCTCCTAATGCTGCAGTTTGCAAACATGGGACATGTCAGAAAAAATCAATATCCTCTCTCTTACCTTCTCCCACTGATAAGGAAGAGTTTGCAGCACCCCTCAACCTGGGCCCAAACAAATCTTCCAGCCTTAAGTGCTGCAACTACTCAAGAAGAACAAGGAGCTGATCCCGCCTACTGTGCCCCAACTGTGGCATAAGTCACAGTTATGACTGACTTAATCCTTGACAAAGATGGAAAAGGGGAGTCAGGTGTAGTGGTGCATGCTTGTAACCCAAGCTATTCAAGAGGCTGAGGCAGGAGGATCACAAGGCTTCCCTGGGAAACTTAGAAGATCCTGTCTTGAAACAAAATTTTTAAAGGGCTGGGGAACATAGTTCAGTGGCAGATCATTGCCTAGCATGCACAAGGCCCTAGGTTCAATCCCTAGTACCTCCAAAAAGAAAATAAAAAGGGAAAAGGGCCACCACCATTCAACAGAAGGAATTGAGGCTCAGAGAGGAAAAGACTTTTATTAAAGCTGGACCACAGGAAGTGGTCAATAAGGGAATCCAATTCTAAGTCCACTGCCTCTAGCTCTGCCATCTGCTAAATTCTGCTCACCCTGGACACCTGTAACAAACTTGAAGCTACAGCCTACTGCAAGTTCAGGAGCCATGCATTCATATTCAAGTGACCAAACCCCGGCCTCCCTGTTTCCTCCCTTCTCTGGGGCCAGCCCCAGCGAACATCATCAGCCAGTAAACCAGAACAGGCTTCCTCCTCATTTCTTGTTAGATCACCATCAAAAGGAAAATAAAAAAGGTAAAGGCATGCCAGGGAATGCCTTCAGGACCACAAACTTGTCTGAGAAAAGCACTAATCCTCCAGTCCTAACTCAGAAATCACATTTGCGTGTAAAACTCTCACCTGGTTCAGGTGCCATTCTGTTGTCTCACCTTCTCAATATTTAGAATCCTGTTCAATGTTTAGATTCCTTGAGGCCCTACATTACTTTTTACACAAACCTCTGGCCTTCTGCCTGGAGTCTCCCCACTCAACCTCCAATGACCTCCTGGGAAGAAAGAGCAGAAGACGGGTTTCTACTGGGTTTGAATCCTACTCCATCAGCCATATAATCATGGACAAGCTACTTCACTGCTTCAGACTCAACAGAGACTGCTATAGTTTATATATAGATGTCCCCCCAAAGCCTTGTGTGCTCACAGGTGGG